GATTTAGAATTAAAATAGCATTTTTTATTCTTCTTTTGATATGGGAAATTTGAAAATAAGAGGGTTGGTATGAATAATTTTTTTTAGCTATATAAATGTAATATTGAGAAAATCATAAATGACAAAGATACTTTAAATATTGACGGGAAATCAAACTTTAATAAGAGCATGAAAAACAGGATATTGACATGAACTGATATTATTTGTATAATATTAGTAAAATATGATAAAGATGTCTATATCTAATTTTATATACATCAATAGTACCAAGATTGTAATTGTTTAATGAGAGGAAAATGGAAAAAATATGGGGAAGAAAGGAGGATCAAGGAAAAAATACTGGATTGTGTAGTACTGAATAGATTTATATTGAAGAAGTTAATGTTAAATATATAAACCCAGAAACGTGTTGTTTACTAAGCTCTAAAGATTGTAATTTTAAAAAATTTAATAAAAATTTAAAAAAAGACAAACCAATGGTATAGTGTGAATGATAAAATTTAATAACTTTGATGAGATACAAGAGACAATCAACAAATAAACGTATCATTTACTATTTACAAATGCAAGAGTCTGAAAACTTCCTGTTTAGAACACATTTTTGGCAATCTTCCTCCACTCATCGCACAGAATTCTGCAGTTGTTGCAGGGTGCGGTCCAACCTACTGGCAATCAAGATCCAGATATGGATGATATAATATTACAGCATACCATTTTTAAAGTTGTTTAAAACAGATGGCATAAAAGGATGCATAAAAATAAGATAAAAGCTTGGTGTTCTCTAATTGAAGAGAGGACTTCGGCAGAAAACAGCTTTCTTTACTCTAGATGAGAGATTATTTTTATAGTACATTTATTATAAAGAAATTTTGCATCTAGATACAAAAATAGCAGGCTAAAAGAATGGATACACATAACCAAAAAAGAGCGTCTTCAATATTACTAACTGTAGCTCTGGTAGGTTTAAAGGACTATATAAATTCTTTTATTTTTATAAAATCAGATCTGGAAAAATTATGAAGTGCAGTAAGATGAAAAATAGACACCGGATATTTTTTCTAAGATCCAACAACACTTATTTGATACTATTTATATATTCCCTATATCCAATTTTAACCAGGACAGTGTCTGAATATTTATGAGCACTTCACATTATCTGATACAATGCAAAACACCGTTTAGTGCCTTTCCCAATTTAGTTATGTCCAGGCTTGTGGGACTGCTACTTCCATCGTCCATACTGGGATATGTTACAGAGAACACCACAAAGTCTAGTCCCAAGACAGGTTCTAAGAAAGAAACATGAAAATGTTTCCTGAGCGGTGGCCATATTTATCTGTGCAGCATTAACATGTTTTTACTTAAGATTCTGGGGACTAGAAATTATTAAGGCTGAGTTCACACAACATGGAAGCTACGCTAAAATAATGTTATAGCTGCAGGCGGAGGTGGTCGGATTGTCTGGTCTGATGGAAAGCGTACATACGGTAGTTCCAAGTATCCAAGCGCGTCTTTCACACATGAGGTGTGAATATAAGAGGGGGGGGGGAAGGACCGCTATTGCTCGCCCTGTTTCCTCTTGATTTATTCCACTGCCCCCTTTAATGACTTGTGGACTTCAACTGAGAGCTCAGGAATTCTGGGAGTTGAAGTCCACAAATCATAAAAGGGGCCATAGCTCCCCACTTCTGCTCGAGGCGCTAGCCGCCTCACCCCCAAGGTGCTCGCAAAATTGCGCACCGGCTCGAGTCTACCGGCAACAGAGAAAGGCAAGTCCGGGGGGCGGAGCTTAGAGGCGCGTCCTTCCTTGGAATGAACAAGGGAACCTGTGGGATTCTCTTCCACCGGAAGCGGGAGGCATCTGTGCAGTAGCAGGGCCTGAAAGTCTCGAGCTTCAGCCTACCTTATACGCAGCTTTAAAGTAGTGTAGTAGTAGAAACAGCAAATCATCGGCAAATCTTACTTAGCAACTTCCAGTTATTTATCCTGCCCAGTAGCTGTCTCATCCGCTTGTTCTGCGCATGTTGCTTATTATTAAAATAGATACGGGTCCTCCGATAGGACATAATTATGCTATAATCGCTTTTCAAAGGGGGCGGTTAAACCCAGGTTCTTGGAAAGAGATTAAAGGGGACTTACTGCCGTATTTCTCTTTAGGAACGAGCCTCAAATACTTTCTGGGAGTGTAAAATCAGTTTTCCTCCCGTTATGCATCGTCCTTTATTTCTTTTCAAGGTTACTAATTTGCGTTTGAGCAGGAAACTCCTGCTAACTGATGTGCTAGTCAATGTAATGATATTAATGCATTTTTATCAAAGCACCAAAAAGCAAGAGAAGAAACAATGGCTGGAAGCAACCTAGAATTAAGGAGAAATTTCCCAGCGGTGAGAACAATTAACCAGTGAAATGCCTTGCTTCCAGAAGCTTTGGGTGCCCATCAAGGGAAGCTTTTAAGAAGAGATTGGGCAGCCACTTGTCTGAAAAGGTATAGGTCAGGATCTCCTGCTTCAGCAGGGGATTGGACTAGATCAGTGATTCTCAACCTTTCTAATGCCGTGACCCCATAATACAGTTCCCCATGTTGTGGTGACCCCCAAGTGGGTGTGGCCACCAATAAGAGGCAGTAGGACAGCTAGGGAAAAGGGAAAAAAAATGGCGGACAGCATGGTTTGGTGACCCCCGTGAAATGGTCATTCGACCCCAAATGGGGTCCCGACCCACAGGTTGAGAACCACTGGACTAGATGATCTCCAAGATCCCTTCTAACTCTGTTAATCTATGTTCTAAAATGGACAGTGTGCTCAGCACTCACCCCAAGAGCAGGCAAGGTAACCACATTTTATTTTAGAAAAAATGTTAGTAATTCTTTAATGGAGCTTTTAAAAACAAACTAAAGCATTAAAGCTGACAAATAGAAAATAACTTTGAATATATGAATCCTGAGAGGCAGCTGTGGCATCAAAATCAATCCATTTTTTTATCACATTAGGTTTTGTGGATCATAGTTCATTGTACCAGACACATGCCATGAGCATAGTCCTGAAAGGACTATATATGCAGCTGTTGTGAGGAAGTCGAATAGTGAAAGGACTTAGAGAGATTTGATAGTATTAGCAACCATTAAGAAAGCAGTCTGTAGGTAATTTTCCCTTCATGTCATACTCTGTTCCTGCTGATTTTTATGGACACATCTATGGAAGTGAGTTGCAGCTGCTGTTTTCTAGATGCTTTTCAAAATTCCAGTCTAGACCTGATATTCCCTGGTGGTTTTGTGTCAAGCATAAGCCAGATCTAACCCTGCTTATTTTTTAAATCAGCCACTGTCAGCTGGGTACTGCCACCTAGCTGTATTAAAACATAATTTGCTGTAATTATTGAACTATTTAAATTTTGCACCCTATTTTCAAAAGCTTCAAAAACTTGCAAAACACTAATTCAGCCAATACATTGTTGCAAACACAAGACAGGAGGAATACAATAGGTATCCAGACAACTCTTACGCATGTAAGATTTGAAATTAGGCTGTTCTAGAATGATGAGAAGCTGCTTGCAGAAGATGGGGCTTGTAGTTTAACACTTCTGGAGGGGACCATTTTCAGGAAACTGTTCTACACTGTATTGTAGTATATCAATGTGTTGTGACAATGTCACTGCTGATTAAACAATACAATGTTGGGTAATACTGTAGAAATACAGAAAGCCAACTAGCAGTCCAAATGTACCCTAGAAAAAGTATCCTCCATTGCTCCTATTCCACAGGTGGGCTCTGATGAGCTTACCTATTAATGGTAGCAAACAATACACAGCAGAATCTAACATTTTAAATTTCCAGCAATGCTCTGGAACAGCTTTTCTCATCCAAATGTCCTTCTGACTAGCTGGATTACAACTACCAAGACACACTGGCTGGAAAAAATGGATATCCATTCAGTTAGTCATTGACAGTTGGGCATACAAATTTAAAATACTGGTTCACATACAATAAGTTTATTAATTTAATTCTTAATTTACAAAATGAGATATAACAGTGTCTACCATTCTTATTTTCTGTTCTGAAAATGCTACCACATAATTCTAGTTTAAAGGAAACTATTGATAAGGATCTGTTTGCTGAAAGGTTGTAGTAGGAAGCATCATTTCAGAAACACTAAGTCCACTAGCTAATTGGGGAGAGTTATTGTTTATATGTTGCAGGAATTGGGTATGTCTAGTTTAATAACAAAGACTAGAGATGACATAACAGTGTTCCAATCTGTAAAAGGTTTCCACAAGGAAGAGGGAATCAAGCTGTTCTCCAAAGCACAGAACAAGAGCAGTGGATAGAAACTAATCAGAGAGAACCAAGGAGAAATTTCCTAACAGTTACAAGAATTAATCAGTGGTATGACTTCCCTCCAGAAGTTGTGGGTCAGGGGTCTTCAAAATTGGCCCTTTTATGACTTGTGGACTTCAACTCCCAGGCATGCTGGCTGAGGAATTCTAGGAGTTAAAAGTCCACAAGTCATAAAAGGGCCAGGTTTGAAGACCCCTCTTGTGGGTGCTCTAACACTGGAGATTTTTAAGAAGAGATTGGACAATCATTGTCTAAAATGGTATAAGGGTCTCCTGCTTGAGCAGGGGGATCGACTAGAAGACCTCCAAGGTCCCTTCCAATTTTGTTATTTTGTTCTGGTATTCTATATAAAATATACTTGGTGTTATGTCTGTATTCAAATTATTGTCAGTTATTTTCTTTGTGAGTTTGACAATGTTTAGCCAGTTTAATGAGAAAATACAAAACACCATAAACATTTTTTTCTAAAATGGACTATAAAACAAGGGAAATCAGTTCTGTATTATGACATTCAGAAACTTTTTGTGTAGTAGTAGAGTTAAATTGTTTTTCAATCTCACTAATTCTATATAAGGTTGGACTGTAACTGTATTAGCTTCATACCAAATAAGCTGTTTTCTCAAGAAATTTCACTAATAGCAAAAAGAAAAACAGCAGCTTTGCCAAGTTTGCAGGTGAAAATACACTTTATTTAACAGAATTCTAAAGAACTACTAATGTCAGCCCTGTGAAGCTGGCACTGGCAGGTTCACATAACTTTTTATTGCTGGGAGGGGCCTGATCTTGCGTCCAGCCCATCCCCCTTTCCGCTGCCATAAACCACTGTCTGGTCGCTTTCCTAGCCACCGGTTCCGACCAGCTTTCCCAAGATTTCGTTGGTTGTGTTCAACATTGGAAACTCTTCCCACTGTAGCCATGCATGTTTCCAATACCTGTAAGAAGAAGCGGAATATTCCAGATATTTGTAGGCACCAGACACAATTATTCTATCCTTTGTGCTTTCAATAGCTTTTAAATGTTTAGGATCATGGGAGAGAAAGAGAGGAAGACTGCCTTGAGGACCACTCCAGCTGAACTATCCACTTCTAACCCATCCTCCCTGTGAGAAGAAACCTGGTAACTCGTTTATATATATCAAGCAACACTGCAGGATAACCCAAACCCCCACCCCCCCAATCTCTTTTCTAAATGTGTTAGAATGTCAGGCCAAAAGAGGCACTGTTTGCAGGGAAGCACTGATGAAAAAAGCAAAATAGATGATGCTCTTCCCCATCAAGACAATTCTAGGTGTCAAAGGAGCCTAGCTTTTTATCTTCACTAATATTCCCAAACTCTAAAGGGCTTACCTGTATTTGCCTCTTCGAGGGCAACTGTATAATGGCCGTTCCATTCATTTTCCTCAGTAATACCCCACAGGTACCTAAAAAAGAAAGTATCAGCAAGACTACAATGTTCTAAACACCACACTGAATTAGACCAGCAGAGAAATCACCAGACTACAATTTTTTTTCATCCTATTCCAATAGAAACATAAATCCAGGATCTGCTATAGGCCAGTTTTGCCTAATGCAATATCATAAAGCTGCATTGGCAGCCATCATACAAAGTTAGTATTTGGCACCAACCCCTTAGCATTTGAGGCTGGAGTCATTACTTAATTTCTTGTAGTCAGTCCATTGTGTTGAATATGAATACATTTGGATGATAGTCTGAAACTAGACTGAACATAGCATCAAATTAATACTCTTGCTGTATGCATTGAACTTCTATTAAACATCATATCTTCATTTCCAGCATTATCATTGGCATAGATTTACAATCTGAAACATTCTGAAGATCATGTTCTATAATACCTAATGCTAAATATATTTCTCTATTTAATGAACATAATTAGAATGACTAGCATGAGTGCTGAATGTAACTTGGTGATTGTGTAAACATTCCACATTAACTGAATAAAATGATTTAGGAAGGTTCGTGCCTATCTACTGACAAGGGTTTCTCCTATCTCATTCTGGAATATGTTGTTTTTACCACTTTTTTATTAGGCATCTAAGCCATGAGTTAATGAGATTTGCTTCAATCCTTCCAAACTGCTTCTAGTTTCTACTGGATCCAGACCTGCTGCTCGGATATACTGTGCTCCTTTCCCAGGATGACTCTCCAAGTTATTTATGAGGGTTCCAAGTGCTAGAGCTCCAACTGGATAGGCATCCCCATCATTAGCAGAGACTGAAAGACAAAAAAAAAATAATAATAATAACATTAATAGTAGTAGTAGTAGCAGTAGTAGTAATGTGCAAGAAATATCATTTGCCTGCAAGCAAGAACTAGTGGGATTATAAAGAAAGTCATAGAAAATGATAAAGTTAAATTGCTCTGGGACTTTAGAATTCAAACAGACAAGAACCTGCCACATAACATCCCGGACTTAACAATTGTCGATAAGAAAGACAAAATTGACATTGGACACCATTGGCATTGACAAATTCATCATCAGTCAATTGCAAAAGGCGACCTCACTAGGAACTGCTTCCATCTTGCAACAATATCTGTAATACCATCAAACATTCACATCTGCCTATCCCAAATCCTTGGTAAGGACTCGATAGGTAGACAAAAATGTCAAACCCAGTCTGAACATCTGGTTGACTGTGCAGTGATCAATAATAATAATAGTAATAATAATAATAGTAATAAAAATAAAAAAGTCTGGATAGTGGACGTGGCAGTGCCTGGAGACAGCAGAATAGACGAAAAAGAACTGGAGAAGATAACAAAATACAAAGACCTACAAATAGAAACAGAAAGACTGTGGCAAAGGCAAGCAAGGGTAGTACCAATAGTAATAGGCACCTTGGGTGCAATTCCAAAACAACTGGAGCACCACTTGAACACCACTGGCATTGACAAATTTGCCATTAGTCAATTGCAAAAGGCAGCCTTACTAAGAACTGCTTCCATCCTGCGACGATATCTGTAAAACCATCAAACATCCAGATCTGCCTATCCCAGGTCCTTGGTAAGGACTCAATAGGTAGACAAAAATGCCAAATCCAGTCTGAACATCTGGCTGACTGTGCAATGATTAGTAGTAGTAGTAGTAGTAGTAGTAGTAGTAGTAGTAGTAGTAATAGTAGTAGTAAAGTTGGAAGGGACCTTGGAGGTCATTTAATCCAACCCTCTGCTCAGATAGGAAACCCTATACCATTTCAGACAAATGGCTGTCTAGTCTCTTCTTAAAAACTTCCAGTGCTGGAGCATTCAAAACTTCTGGAGGCAGGTTGTTCCACTAATTAATTGTTCTGTCAGGAAATTTCTTCTTAGTTCTAGGTTGCTTCTCTCTTTGATTAGTTTCCATCTATTGCTTCTTGTCCTACCTTCAGGGGCTTTGGAGAATAGCTTGACTCCCTCTTCTTTGTGACAATCCCTGAGATATTGGAACACTGCTATCATGTCCCCCCTTGTCCTTCTCTTCATTAAACTAGACATACCCAATTCCAGCAATCATTCCTTATATGATTTAGCCTCCAGTCCCCTAATCATCTTTGTTGCTCTTCTCTGCACTCAACATCTTTTTTACATCATGGTGACCAAAACTGGATGCAGTATTCCAAGTGTGGTCTTACCAAGGCATTGTAAAGTGGTATTAATACTTCACGTGATCTTGATTCTATCCCTCTGTTAATGCAACCTAGAACTGTGTTGGCTTTTTTGGCAGCTGCAGCACACTGCTGGCTCATATTTAAGTGATTGTCCACTAGGACTCCGAGATCCCTCTCACAGTTACTACTATTGAGCAAGGTACCACCTATACTGTACCTGTGTATTTGGTTTTTCTTGCCTAAATGTAGATCCTTACTTTTTTCATCATTGAATTTCATTTTGTTAGATAGCGCCCAGTGTTCAAGTCTGTCAAGATCCTTCTGTATCTTAAGCCTATCTTCTGGAGTCTTGGCTATTCCTGCCAGCTTGGTGTCGTCTGCGAATTTGATGAATTCCCCATTGATGAAGATGTTGAAGAGCATTGGGCCCAGAACAGAATCCTGGGACACCCCACTACACACTTCCCTCCATGTAGATGCAGAACATAACAAATAAATGGGGCAGGCTAGAAAAAAGTAGTGTACCAGGGAAAAATAAATAAAATCTCTACAAAATATTGAAAGTAAGAAATAAAATATTGAGAGGAAGAAATGACCTTAGCTCTCATGCAGGAGCTAAATACTAACAGAAGGGCAGAAGAGGGAGCAAGGAGATGCATCCAAATATGTATCCATTCATGCACACTTTTAAGGAGAGATGCATAGACAATTCTAAAAAGAAGACAGGATCGCTTAATTTTTTTAAAAAGTCACAATTGATACTTCTCAATTAAATATTTTTGATTTGGTCTATAAATCTGAGTTTGGTTTTTATGTGCAAACATTTCATTATCTAACTAGGTAACATCATCAGTGCAAGTGTGTGTAGGTTTGCTCTGTTTATATACAGTTTTGGTGGAAGTATAGTTTTCTCCCAGAACACAGAAAGATCCTGACAACCACTATCAAGACTATATCTCTAAGATAAGTTGACAAAAGGAAAACAAAACTCCAAACCAAATTGGTCAAGCTAAACTCCAGAAGCAAAGAGATATCTAAGTGGGTAATTAACACATCCAGCCACTCATTATCCTCCAGAAATATCTCAACTATTACAGAGGATGTCAATCAGTTAGAATTCTTTGCAGCCTGGGAAACAGCATTTAAAACCACAGGACTTGCCACAGAGACCCAAGAAAACATCTAGCACTGATGATGTTATCTAGTTTGATAATGAAACATCTGCAAGAAAATAACTGAGGTCAGAAAGCACCAAGAACTCCACAGTTCAATTCTGAGCTACAAATATTCTCTTCTGAGTAAGAAAACATGACAAACACCATACTACAGAGCAGAAGAAAACAGAATCAGAACCAACTCAAAGCAGCACTTTGAGGGAGGATAGAGCAATACTCAAAAACCTAAAGAATGACCAAAACTATTATTATCTTCTCAGCAGACAAAAGCCATACCAGAGTTATCGTGGATACTTATAGAAAGCCGAAGAACTCCTGGAGGACAAATAAACCTACGTACATTCCATAAACACCAATTAAATCCAGAAACTGGATAACCAGGTCAAGAGAACCCTTAACAACCTAATCAAGAAATGTCAAATCACAAAAGAACAGTGGCAGGATATTCCAGAAGGGTATTAAAACTTGGATTTGCTTATTGGCTTGGGGCTCATAGGGGCTGCTCACCACTGGAGGTGGTTGACAGGATAAGAAGAGCTCACTCATCTCACCACCATCCGTCTTCTTGGTTCTGCTTTTTGGCATAGTTTTAGAATTTTAAAGGGCATAATCTTAAATTGCTTTTCTATTTATCTTTTTATGATTTGTAAGCTGTCCAGAGTTGCCTTATGGGTACATATAAATTTAATAAATAAATTTACACAATCCCAATATATCACCTTCATTCATAGATCCAGAACTAGCCCAAGAATCCATTATAACAATGCTACACAACACCCTGGCCTAGCCAAATACACTAATGTTGAAATACCCAGATTCATGGATCTCATCAACCTCAGCCTCACAATGTATTTTCAGTTTGATAGATAAATATACCAACAACTCTCAGGAAATCCAGTAGGATCACCATTCTCAAAATTCATAGCAGAGACTATAATGTAACATTTAGAAACTACAGCATTCTTATACACAAAACCAAAAGTGTGGATCTAATATTTTTAGACAATATTTTGTCATAATAAAAAAGGAACAACCAGAGAACGTACATGAGACAATCAACAACATCTTCAAAGAAATATAATGATAAAGAAAACAACAGCACACAATCTTTCCTGGATATGCTCATCAGCAGAGGAAATGATAGCAAATTAGAAATTCAAGTCTATCAAACACTATCCACATTAATGCTCCATTACCAATGTAGTAACCCATCCTCTCGTAAGAGGTGCTGTGTAAGAACATTATTCAGACAAGGGCAAACACACTACAGCAACCCAGACCACCAGAAATTGGAAATAGATCACCTATACAAATGACTATAGAATATCTTCAAAAAAGAAATGCAAAACCATGAAAGTTTATCAAAAAGTGCCTAAACGCACAACCTAATATGGTACAACCAACACAAACTATGAAAAGGATAATACTTTAAACATGTCAGAAACTACAAAAAGACTGTTACAACTACATGGCATCATTGTAGCACACAACCCTAAGTTACATATATGTATGTATGTATGTATGTATGTATATGTATATGTGTGTGTGTATATATATATATATATATGTATATGTATATGTGTGTGTGTGTGTGTGTGTGTATATATATATATTCTATTAGTCTACAACATCATTCCTTAGAAAAGTAGACTACAGCCAGTCCTTCAATATTAATAACAATCAGCTTGCAATGTGATGTCAAAAGCCTGTCTCAAAATTCTTCTTTGCTTAGCTTTAGTTTGCTATATAAGATAATCATAAATTGGGAGTATCTTAGCAACATTTTAGAGGAAGTAATATGTTTTGAAACCTAGCCATTCGCATCTTTAGTAGCTTAAGTAGCATTTCAAATATTTACCTGCCATCCTTTCTATTTTTCCTGAAGTTTTGATAATGTCACCAGCCACCATGTTTTCAGTTGCAATGATCCAGCGTTTCCGCTTCTCTCCAGCTACTAGAGCTATATGACCTGTTCTTCATGGGGAACGGGAAAAAAATCAGTAAAAGATGAATAGTTCAGTGTATTAGCTTTACTCAGTATAAAAAGTAAACCAGCTGGGCAAGAAAGATGTCAAAATATTTTTTGTACAACTGTTCAGAGATAAAAATCTATCAGCATTGTGAGCTAATCAAGCAGATTGCTTGCTTCTCAGTGGGAATTTGGAGGGAGAGCTGCAACCCAATCCCAGTTACATCAAGACTTTTGATTTCCATTCCATTCCAATGAAAAATAGCTTCTTGATATGAACCATGGAATAATCTATTTAGACAACAGATGGAAAGTGAAAAATAGCTTCTTGATGTGAATCAGAGTGGTCTTTCTCTGTTTTTAAAACTACACATGTCTTCCACTAGCTGTTATTTCCTAATGCTCAATTTCATTTTCTATAGTAGTTTGTGTTCCTTACAGTGATCAGTTATTTTTCCAATGTTACTTAACAAACTCAATCTTGATAGTGTTCTTTTCAGGAGATTATCTTTTCTCCAGGGCTTTTTCATGCTAATAGTTCAGAATATGGTATTTTTAAGACTATCAGGTTGCTCTGAATCTACAGATACTTCCTTTATGTTTAGTTGTTGTTGTCAAGCAATAGTATTTACAAAACTAAAATGAAATTGAAACTCAATAAACCTTCAATCTGCTTGTCAACTCAATTGACTATTACTTACCTACATGGATCGTATCGGACCAAAAGCACTTTTTCCTCAAATGGACTAGGCTCTGCTGCATTTGGATAATGCAGTCTTTGGAAATCAATCATACGGTAGCATTGTTTATTTCCTCCTCCAATTCCATGCACACGGATACGACCTTATGGTGGAAACAGCACTTTTTAACCATCATCATGTATTGCACTGAAACACTATATTCCAGTTGCAAGATTTCTTTTTAAAAAAATGTTACAAATCTCAGAAGTGCATGAAATCACTGAGCTCTCATAAGATATTCAAGCAAGAATATTAATAATTTCACACAATTTGGCAATTTTACACGAATTTAGCATTTTCACTTTAAATTAATTTGGAAAACCTATAGATGGCATTCCATGAGGATTTCTGGGAATCATGTTGCCAATCCCTGTTATATCAAATAAATGATTAAAATGATTAAAAATTAATCTCAGAAAAATCTCCAGCAGCCCTACTTTTATTATAAATTATAGAGACTAAAGATAAAGTCCAAAATGTCTATTGTTTTATGTTGGAAAAAATATGCTTGGTTTCGAATTTATGCTAATCTGGAGAAAAAGATGAACAAAAAGCTCAAAATATTATTTGGTATTTCCTTTCCTACAAGGCATAATTTTAAAAGTTTTATATCTGTTCCTTGCTTAGCAGTGAGCTTGGTTAGCAACCATTTGCAAATACGACAGTTATAAAAAAAATATTTCTGACCAACGTTCACATTTACATCAAATTTCATGCACCTGACAACAATGCACATCAGAATGAGAGTAATGCTGGCACAATATTAACTGAATGAGATAACAGCAATCAGTGATCTTCACAGCATCGTCTCTCTGTCACATGTCCATGCTTAACAATCAAGTCACTGGAAGAAAACTCAGTCACTAAACAGGGATTAGGTACACATAAAGATCAAATATAAAAATAATTAAATATAATTATATTCATTTATATAATCAACATGTGACTCAGGGCAAAGTACATAAATACTATGCTTCTGGGTTCAGTTCAAAGTGCTGGTGATGACCTCTAAAACCCTTCACAGAATGGGACCAGTTATTTCAGGGACTACCTCTCCTTGGTTACATCTATCCATTCCATCAATTCTGGCAAGGGAGGCATGGTCAGGTCCTATTTAATAGGGAATGCAATCTGGCCAGCCCAGAAGGAAAACTCTTCCTTCATAGCACTCACCCTTTACAACATCATTACCCCAGATTGCCTGACACTACGAGCCTTTCATAAGCCCTTAAAGATATGGCTTTCTCACCGGGCTTTAAGATCCATGTGTGCAGGAGAGCCTGTACAGTAGTTGAGTTTTGATTACTGTTTTTATACCTTAGCTTTAATTGTGTTGTATGGAGTTTTTTATAGCTTCATATCGTTTTTATATTGTATTTCTTTTTTATATTTAATTGTTATAAGCCATATAGAGACATCTGAGATGGACAGCTCTTTAAATTAAAATAAATTATAAATTCAATTAAAAACCTATCTATTGTTAAAACTATTTTTGCTCTGCCGGATAGATAATAGTTTTCATGTGGCTGAATATTATTTGATCAGCTGAATCATCTTCTATTTCATATAGTTCTTTTATTATAAAGTGATACTTTATAACAGTTAACTAAAAACTGTCCTCATTAATATGCTTTAGAAGTGTGAAATCTAAATTTTCAAATAAATGAATATGGAATGCTCACAGAACATAGAATACTGTAGTATATGAATTCTAAACATACCATTTTGTGAATGCCGTGGCACTACACACAACATCTCTCGCACACATGGATTTTAAGCCATCAAGAACACTATCCCTCATGTTCACACAACATACCTTGCCATGTGTTTTTGTAACTCACTCATAATATATAGTTGCAAATCAGTGGCACAGCCATACAGACATGACTCCATAGTATGCCAGAAATGCTCAACTGGCAGAATTAAATCAGAATGAACTATCTACCTAATGAGATCAATAGACAAATCAATAGAACTGGATCAATTCTCATGGAGGATTTATTAAAAACAGATCTCCCCAGGAATTCCATTGGCTGTTATCTAGAGTTCACAGCTACATACATTATTAATAAGCTATAACCAATATTTGACAATGAGACTGTATTTTGTCAGACGTTGGATGACAGATCATCCATACAGATAACTACTCAACCTGCAGCAGATTCTCAATGGAACAATAGCATAACAATGACACAAACAAGAAACAAGACCCTGCAACAAATCAAGATGTCTATTTTGCCCCCATACTTACATCACCAGCATTATCACAAATCCCATCAACTTCACATACATGTTAAGAGACCCCCTTCATGTGCTTTTCTTCTAAAGTAATGTATACCATTATTTGCAGTGCTCTTCTGGATTCAGTGTAGGACCAAACAAGCAATGCTTTGCACAAAATAATACTCAGGCATCAAGAATTAAAATAAGAACAAAGTAATAGTTTGTTTCTCCTTAGTTCTAGGTTGCTTCTCTCCTTGATTAGTTTCCACCCGTTGCTTCTTGTCCTGCCTTCAGGTGCTTTGGAAAATAGCTTAATTCCCTCTTCTTTATGGCAGCCCCTGAGTATTCCAATATCTCAGGGGCTGCCATAAAGAAGAGGGAATTAAGCTATTTTCCAAAGCACCTGAAGGCAGGACAAGAAGCAACGGGTGGAAACTAATCAAGGAGAGAAGCAACCTAGAACTAAGGAGAAACTTCCTGACAGTGAGAACAATTAATCAGTGGAACAGCTTGCCTCCAGAAGCAGTAAATGCTCCAACACTGGAAGTTTTTAAGAAGAGACTGGACAGCCATTTGTCCGAAATGGTGTAGGGTTTCCTGCCCGAGCAGGGGGTTGGACTAGATGACCTCCAAGGTCCCTTCCAACTTTACTATTATTATTATTATTATTATTATTATTATTATTATTATTATTATTATTATTAATGTTAATACTTGAGCATTTCAAACTTCTAGACCAGTGGTGGCGAACCTATAGCACGCGTGCCAGAGGCGGCACTCAGAGCCCTCTCTGTTGGCACGCGCACCGCCGCCACCAGCAGCAGGTCCATCAGGCCGTCACCACTGCCCGGAGCAGGAGCCCCGCCCAGCACAAAGGAGGCAAAGCAGCCGACTAGCAAGCTCTAGTAGAGGTGGTAGAGCAGAGGTCACCAACCATTGTCAATTGGTGGACTGGAAGAAAAGGGAGGGGGAAGCATTTTACATGCACGCATGGGGCCGCGAGCACGCACACGCTGCAAATGGGGTGGGGCTAGTGCCTGCGTGATGCTCACTAGCTCTGCCCCGTTCTTGCTTGGTGCAGCGCCTTGTATCTACACCCTGCGGCATGGTGGTGGCCGTTTTTGCACCTGGCAGCATGGTGGCCCATTTTGTGCCCCTGGTTTTTGCATGCCAGAGGTGGCACTCAGAGGTGCCTCCCTGCCCCCCCGAGGGCACCACAGTGCTGATGTGGCCCTGGCACTTTCCGATAAATAAGTGGATTTGGGGTTGCGGTTTGGGCACTCGGTCTCTAAAAGGTTTGCCCTTTTAGACATTCCATTCTAGATATCAAAGTACTCATTTTGGACACAAGAAATTTCACCGGTGCAATTAAGCAAAAGATTATTGAACTTTCAGGACATCCTCAAATGTTTCAACAAACACAATGGATTTTTAACACACTATAATCATTAATTGTCATGATACTTGTTCCAATGTAACTGGCATCAGCATAACCATCCTGCTGGTAACTTTTGCCCTCTTCTCCTTTCCCTCCTCCCAGTTTAAATCCTACAACAATCTAGACACTCCTTTGCATCTGATGAAGTGAAAAAAAACCTACAGGAACAGAATTGCAGTTCAGAACATACCTGTGTGATCTCGACCTCCTGTCTTTGTTTTGGGAATGGGCTTAATGGTATACTTTGTCCTGCATTTCCACAAAGGATCTCTAGCTAACACAGAGGTAGAAGTACTGATTTCACGGGATGTACCAAGTTGGCTAATAAGAGAAAGAGCACGGAAAGATGCAGGGATCTAGTAAAGGCAAGCAAAGCAAACAGGATATTATGAATGGTAAATTTTTAACTGCAAGGGCATAACTGGATATAACATGAACCAAAAGTTTTCATCTTTGTTGTTTAATATTTTAGAAAATATACATTCAAATACAGCGACAATTTAACAGCAAAGTTCTAAAACATTTTGTTATTATATGTTAAATATGAAGCCATTTTTGCAGGTTTCCTGCAAAACACAAGCTGCTTCCTCTAAAATTCACAGCATGTTACAATCAAAATAGATACCTGATTATTAAAACCAAATAAAATTAAGATGTTCACCCTACTTATGTGTTTAAATCAGGAGCGCTTATTTTACATTAAAGGAGGAAAGGCATCTGCAAATGTTTAGAAATATTTGTTTACTACTAGGTAAACAAAAACTATGTCTTGAAAGTTAAAGCTTAGTTCAGACCTTTATATGGCAAGAAAAATAATTAAGATGGTATAAAGTCTACTAAGTAATTCTGCTCAGAGAGAAGCAAAATAAAAGGATAGCATTAAGTTTCTATCCCATTTTTTCTCTTATCAGTTTATATAGCTGCCTTAAGCTCATATGCAAAGTCATATTAGAGATATTTGCCTGGAGGAAGATCACTAGTACAAGAAGATCCAGAATCCTGTATGATTTATAATCCATTTGGCCAAAACAGCAAAGTAAATATACCTGTGGAAGATGAGCACTTGAAGACAGCAGCAGGGAACCAAACGGGCGGATCAAGTTTGATATTGCCATTAGGAATAACTATGTGTTCTCTGCTGCAGACAGAAATAAGACAATGACCGTTAGAGTTAATACATACATCTTAACCCTTTCATTCATAAGCAAATCTACATCTACAATTCCTTCCATATATTCATGATCTTCACATGATCAGACTACTTTTATTCAGCTCTATCAGTCTTCTCCCTTTCTCTTAGTTTGATATAGAACACATAGATAGCTGGAACTAACAGACCGGATTGTTAATGAATGCTTTCATAAAGAATTGCATTATTAGTTCATGAGCAGGGAAAATATATTTTATATTTGTAATATTTCTGTTTGACAGATTGCTGTACAGGACAACTGCAAAGGATAAACTCATTGTACTCTAAAAGGCAGACTTGAAATAGGTTTATCCTTAAATAATTTTGCAGAAGATAGCGGTTATATTTGTAAAAAATACATTTCGCTGCCATCTTTTTCATTTTATTTAGCTGAAGTCAGGAAGCATGGTTTCTGTTTATAGTCATAGATCATTGACTTTGTATTAATTTCGCCCTCTCCGCTAAAATCACGCACAGAATGACTTGAGTGAGGATATTTTTAATAACTTGAAAATATTATAGAGCAATCCTCTTTTGGGATACATAAAGAATATTCCGGTAATAATATTTTCCTTTGGAGCAATGAAGTCTTCCGCCTGCACCTACCCCAAATTACACTTCACAGCGCAGCCATATCGCGTCTCCTTCTCTCCTCCCCAAACGGGAGCATGCGCACCCTGACCCGGAAGAGCCGCTATGTAGAAGCGGAAAGCTTACCCAGCTGGTTTTCGTGTAAGACTTTGTAGACAGGATCTGGCTTTCACAAGTTTGGTCCCCAGATGTGGCTGGGCTGCAGTTTTTATCGTCCCGGCCAGGAAAGCAATAGTCGGAATGGTGGGAAATGAAGTCCCATTTGGAGAAGAGCTGCTTAATCTTTTCTATTATCATACATAAGACTCATAACCTGTCCCCCTCCCCCTCAGAATGCAAGCTCAAGAAATATAAAATCTCGATTTAAAATGGATTGGGTCTTTTCTTGTTTAAACATGTTTGCTTGGGAAAGAAAAATAACGGTGTGATCTTCTGGCGAACTACCCAGAACTATTCGATCTATTAAAGCTTATTTGCTTGGATGTGTACCATAAAGGATTTTGGTTTTGGTTTTGTTCTCCGGCGTAGAATTCCTCTGCCTATTTAGCGGACAGAATTTTCGGAAATGAAGTTTCCGATCTTCTACATCGGAAACAGCCTCGCTTTGTTACAATTAAAACACATCGTAAGGCATTCGATAGAGATTCTCCTTAGCAGATAGTCGTTTGACAATGAGATCCTTAGTCGAGGCTTGATTTTCTTGCACTCGCTCTGGCTCCTTTGGCAGTAAAGTTCATGCCCCCCCCCCAAAAGCAGCCAATTCTTTTTCCCCCTGAACCAACTTTAAGGGCAGGAGCAGGCTACTACCGAAGGTGGGTTGCAAAAGTCCTCGCAATCGTTAGATAGCGGCAAACCTTATTTACAAGTTCTAACGCTTTACTACACTCTACGAGCAGTGTGGAGTTTTGCAGCCCGGAGCCAGTAATTGGATTCACAGACCTCGTTACCAACCTTAATAAAAAAAAACGGGTTCAAAGTCTATCCATGTAGTCGCTACGAGTTGATGGCACATAATCAATCAAAGTCTAGCTCAGTGTTTTTCAACCTTGGCAATTTTAAAATGTGTGTATATTCAAGTTGCCAAAGTTCAAAAATCATTATATTACATCACATACCGTTCCACGCCCTCTCCCCTCCTCTCCACCCTTAAAGGGAAAATCCAAATGCATTTTGGGACGCGACCCGTTAGGGAGAGGCGGCCATATTGGACTTAAAGGGGCTGCGGCAAAATGGGGAGGAGCCAAAGTGGGAACTGTTTTCTTCTTTTAGAAGCGGCTGAAGCGGCTCGGAGAGACTGGGAGTCTATTAAGCGCATGCGTGCTTCTTCCTCCCCCTCCATCCTCTGATTTTTCTTAAGAGACCCAAAGGAGGCCCAGGTAGGAGCTTCTGTCCTACAGAGGCGGGGACGTGGTGAGTTATCCTCGTGGAAAGCGCCCATCTTGGCCCGAGAAGCAGCTAGCCTGTCTGACAGCCGATCATAACGCCTGTTAGAAAGGTGGTGGTGGGGCTCCAGAGTCCTCCCGGGGAGAGGCGGGTGACACTTTCTGGAGAGAGAAAAGCTACAGAAGTGGCTGAAAATAGCGGTTTTGCATAGGCGTTTATATAATTTTTACACTGGCGTCAGTTGTTTTATGGAAGTAAATACTATTTCAGTGACCGGGCTAATCCATCTGCATTTCAAAACCCTCCTCTTCAGTCTTATCGGGGACTTAGGAGGATCCTGAATTTTTGCCCTAGCAGCTGCAGTTGGATGCTGTGGTGAATCCGGGCATACATTTAGCCTGGAGGCACATCATTAGACATTGATACATCATGTCTCAAATCCTGTCTTTTCTACGCACCACCATCACCACCCAGTTGCGCACAATCCCTGGGGCCAACTCCTTATTTGTGGTTCAGTTGTCATTGTGTTTCCTTCTGGAAGGGTGTGTCTCTGCACTGCTGGCACAGCAAAAGGCAGGTGCTGCTCCTTTGCTGACAGCGCTTGCCTAATTTGTAAAAGACGAGGAGCTGAGCGAGGCCAGGGCTGTCTCCTGTACTTCCCCACTTGTCTAAGAAAGTGATTCAAAACCGCTGCTCCTAGGGTAGGTTTTGGGTTCCTTTGGGGATGTTGGATAAGAGTGATGTACCTTTTCCCTGTCCTTTATCCTCTTGGAATATTATTACCTCTAAGCTCTACTAGTGAATCAGTTTAGAATCAGTCTGCTCCATTTTTATTTTTATTTTTGTAATATTTCCCACCAAATTTGCACTGTAAAAGTTGAAGTCTTTAGATTAGAACCAGGGATAAAATGATGAGTTGGAGATCATTATTCTGGAAGTAATTACAAGTTCTTGTTTAGGTTTTCCTTCCTCGATTATCTTCTTGCAAGAAAACCCTTTAATTGCTATATTTTCTATAACTACAATGCGTTAAAGTGAATCCTATGATGTAATGTTTTATAACTTACAATTTCACATTTCCTTTATATAAAGTTTTCAGGGCTATGTGATATTTTGTATGGACTTCTGTTACAGTTCACCCATTTATTAATCATTCAAATGGCTGAAGTTTTGATCTTTGAAACCAGTTTTGGGAGGAGCTGGCATGCTTAATTGCAAGGTTCCTTGTGTATGTGGCACTTTCTATATATAATCATGATGCTATTGCATTTGTGTAGCTGTGGGCTGTGCCATCCTGCAGAACGAAAATTTAATGGATTCTTCCATGCTAAACTTTAGGCAGCCCTTTAAAAAATAATTATTTTCAGTTGTAATCATGTCCAGAATTAGATATATGTAGTTTATATTACATGTGATGAAAGTTTTCATCTTTTGAAAGTCTTTTTTTAATGAGATACTAAAACAAAAGATACTTCTGTTTGATCTTAACTTTTTGTTACATTTAACAGAAGATGGAAGTGGTGATGATTATCAGTTTTGTCATCTAAGCAAGAGTTGTCTCCCAACTCCAGCTGGCTTCTGGTACATTTATTATTTATTAAATTTATTTGCTGCCCTTCTCACCGCAAAGTAATTACTATGATTCTTTTTTCTGTATAGGTTCTATATTGATACCATGGTATTATTTCCTGTCCTTCCAGAAATTGACTTTCAAGTATATTGGTCTACAGTTACAATAGCGTGCATGTAATAATGGAAATGAAACAATAGTAATTAGAAACCAGTACTATTAGAGAGCAGCAAGGAAGTACTTTAATGCATCATACTTTTTCTGAAAGTAATATTGAGCCAGAAAGGATAAAGAGATGAACTTGAATAATTATGCATATACTTAGAGAATAAAATATAAATGATATATTTATATTTGAAGCAAGAAAGATATAAATTAGATTACTTAAGCATTAATCTACCTATTTTGGCTTACTTCAAAGGAAAGAAAGAAATAAGATTTGATTTTTAAAATAAACAGTAGTATTGCAAAACATTGATTATTACTAAGGTTGCAGTCTTTAGAATACTAGTTAGTAGCATGAAGAATTATAATAATTTTAAAAATATTTTTAAATGCCAATTTTAATGTTTTGTTAAACTACTTGTTAAAATGGTTATAGCTTAAATATATAAGCATGAATATAACTTCTAATTATATTCTGTTTGGCTTGCTAATATTGAAATAATAAATTAACCAATATGGTAATTGATTTCTTCCTGAAAGTGAGAACACAGATAGTAAAGAGAGAATTTGAGGTAATTAAAAATAATACAATTATAATCTTATAATAATTGTTTATTGGCATTTTATTACAAAAAATATTTTAAAGAGTAAAACAAACTGGATCTGGTTCAACTCCTAATGACAAATGTTAGTGTGTACCTCCTAAAAACATAATGTACATTTCTGAATACTGAAGAATACGTACTTAGATTATACCTAACAAAAAGGTGCTTAGACTAGAAATTATGATTATAAAATCTTTTTAACTAGTGATTATGGTTTAATAATTACACTACGGTAAATCATTTCTGACCTTTATTTCTGACTTCAAATCTTTCAGGTTTTTTTTTTTTTTTACTTATTCAAAAGTAAATCCAGAAATGGACTTAGTGCTTTCTGCTGAGAGGATAAATATAGGCTTGCAGCCATAGAGTAAATTATAGCAGTCCCATGAACTGGCAGTCCTTATGAACTAAAGCAAATTCAATGGGACAGTAACTCTAATCCCATGAAATAGTTCTATGAAATATATTTGCTAAATATTAATATACCTAGGAAGACACAAAAATATAAGTAACTTGTTTGTACAATACAAATAACTTATTAAAATTAACTGAAATATGAGTCTGATGACTTAGGCTCTATAATTGCAACCTAAAATAAAACAGTAGTCATTTAGATAATTTCCACCCAGCTCCTCAGATCAGAGGAAACAAACCCTAAGTTTCAAAGGGATGCTTGTATATACAACCATAGCCCATCTAAATGTATCTTTCCAACAGCAAACTCTTTTAAAATAAATACCAATAACAGCATATCTGAATTCCAGTCTCTTATTTTCTGTCAAAACATTTGTGCAATAACAAAGTTTGTGATTATTTAAAAATAATAATGGTTATGGTTACTATTGAACTTGTATAAGATGATTTTTTTATTAATAGAATTTGTGAACCAAAATTACTGCAGGTTCCATTATTGTATGTAATTAATTTCCAGCATTTTACAAGACAGAGGAAACACAAAAGCGAGGGAACATTCTAAAGATGCAAGCTAGTAAAAAAAGCAATATAAAATGAAATTTAAAAAAAGATAAAATTATTTTCAAGGGGATGAAATATAATCTAGCTGGCATAATTCTGATAAACCATCTATAATATTAAAGCCTAACAGATAAGTGGGGGTTAAAATGAGATTAGAAGGAAGGATATATTGAAATTGGAACTTAAGCACAGTCAGGGTTATCAGGAGATTGAGTAGGCTATAGTTTTATTAGAGAAGCTGAAATGAAGGCAGGCAAAGGAATATGGTCACACACATCAGAACCAACAGAAAATAATAATGACCCATAGATTGGGACTTCATAATAGTAGGGAGAAATGTGATTTATACTTAATCATAGATTTTTAAGAAATCTGAAAAAAAATCCTTGCTCATGGCTTATAAGTAAATTTAGTTGTCATAAAGAATGATGGTATTCATTCTTATTTCACATACAATGCCTGTTTGGGCAATAGTAAAGATCCAGTTTGGTGTGATTAAGGCATCAAGCTAGAAACCAGAAGACTGTAAATTGTAGTCCCCCTTGGGCACAAAGCCAGCTAGGTGGCCTCAATTCAGTCACTTTCTCTTGGTCATAAGAAGGGAGGCAATGTGGCAAACCACTTTTGAAAAACCTTGTTACAGAAATAGCAAGGATCTGTTCAAGCAGTCTGCAAGAATTGGACATACTTGAACAGAAAGAAAAAAAATACTGTTCTTCAGTATTGACGAGATACTGTACTAAACTTTAGGATAAAACAAAACAAACTATGTGGCACAGATCAATCTCCTCTGACATTTTGATGCTGTCTTCTATCTAGAATATGTCACCCAAGGAGCAGTCTCATCATTTTTTCCCGTAACTTCCTGTTCTCCAGATGATCAGTGGACAATTGCCTGAGCAGCTATAAAGTTATTGACTTTGGCATCAATCATACAGATTTCAGAACTGAAGTCAGGTGCCTACATTGGAACCATGGCATTGAATAAATTGGAGTAGGGAGTGAAATACCAAAAGTTGCAGATGATACTGACTTACAGTGGCCAAGGAAGCTTCAAATTACTCTGTAAATAGTTAGTAGAATGCCAAAAAGCTAGAATTAGACTGAAAATGCTACAAGAAGTGAAAGAAAGTGGAGGATTTGGACTGCCAGACTGGACGTTATACTACCAAGCAACTATTTTAACATGGCTTAAAGATTGGATAATAC